AATTACGTCAACTAAACCTCCAGTAAATCATTAATTACCACCATCTTTCCCAAATATCTTGAACCATTGTCTCAATTCATCAGCCGGGGGAATTGCCACAATATACATAATAATAGTTTCATGCTGTGTTCCCAATGAAAGACCTATTCAAAAAAAATATGAATAAAAAATATAAATTCAAAAACTCCAATTATAATTTAATATTTATGTATTTCAAAAGACCATTACTGTGAGGACCTGAAAAGTTTTCCTTATTTTATATTATTTTATTTTATTTTTTTGAATACATTTTCTTTACTTTACTTTATTTCCTTAATTTCCTAAATATCTTTATAAGTGAGTCAAGTTTTTAAATCATTTTTTTTGTATAAGTTAGTTCTTGTTAAATTCGTAGCGCATTATAGAAGCGGGACCCACTAGTGAGTTGCGTAATAAATTTAGTGGACAAAATAGGTAATTATTTAAGAAGGTTTGTGTGACTAGAAGTGCTAAGAGTGAACTAGAGGAAACCAATTTAGATAAGACCTTGAAGACAAAGGAAAGACAAAAAAAAGATCAAGCTAAAAACTTTAGGCCGACACTTGTCGGCCATCAACTTAGTCCTTTGACTAAGACTATTCTTGGTTTTATCTTGAAAATTTGAAGCAAAAATCCTTCATTCTTCTCCTTCTTGTGGCCGAACCATTGAGAGAAAAAAACAAGAAAGAAAACGTCATCTTCAACCTCAAATTTCCTGCTTGAATCTTGAGTTTAACCATTAATCTTGTAAACTATTCCATAAAAAGTGATACCAAAGGAAGACTAAGGGCTTTGGTGGAAAGATTTAGGAGGAACAAGGTCTTGGCAGCCTCTCTTCATAGGGTTTTAAAGTAATCACGCCTGCAACACATTAGATTTCTTTTTAATCTTGCTTGTGAGGAGATTTAAGGCTTGATTATGGGTTATTATGTGAAAATTCAGGATTAGTGTAGGGAATCAAAATTTCCAGCTTTAGTTGAGGAAAATCAGTATTAATATGTTAATATCAGGTTTACTATAAATTTTTAGCCATGCCATGTGATTTTTTCAGCTTGTACATATTTTATTAGCTTGCTTATGAAAATTCCAGCTTGTAGAGTTGAATTTTTGCTTGATGACCAGCTTTGATATGGAGACATGTGAGTTGAATATTTGTCTATTTTTGGTGGCTTTATAGTTTGAAATTAGTAGCTTGTATAGTCTATCATTTGTGGTCTTGATTTGGATGGTTTGGCCATGAAATTTTGTGTTGAATTTGGAGAGGAAATATTGGACAAAACAAGGGTTATGCTGTCCAAATTTTGGGGCAGCTAACAACCTTTGATTGTGGGCTAATTTGGTGATGTACTTGCCTAATATGCTTTGTGAACCTTTAAGCTTTGCTTATGTGCTGCATTTTGGATGAAATGGAAGGGTTTTCATTGGGATTATCTTCCAAATTGCTGGCTGAAGTTATGCTTGTTGGTCCAGTGATAGTGCAGCCTATTATCTTGTTGTTATTCCAACCTTTTCAAAATTGATTTTGGCCAAAACTTGTTCCAAACATTGGTTGGGACTTTTGTGTGTGAATTTGAGTGAAAACCATGAAGATTGGAAGGTGAAAAACCTAAGGATTTTGCTTGTGTCATGGCTGGAAAAAATTCTGGTAGGAATGGCAGAAACTTTGCTGCCTTTTAGCCTCAAAGTCTTTAGTTTTGGAACTTTTTGACATAATCTTGCTGACTTCACTTACTGAAACCTTGAATAACAGGTGTATGTTGAATTGGAGTGAATATCATAAGTATAAAGTGGTGAAACATGTTGTTTCTTTCACTGTTTTGCCGCTGAAAATTTCCAGCCATGAAGCAAATAAGAAACTTGTTGGTTATTCATGTTTTCTTGAGTCCAAAATGCTCTCATTCACTCCAAAATGTTACTTGAGTTTTTACCCTAACATATACTTGGAATTTTCCTTGATTTGCACTCTAAATCTATCCGTGTATATTGGGTTTTGGAAAGTTAATTTGGATAGGCATACGACTCATTGTCAAGCCTAAATTGTGAATTCCGTTCACTTAGCATTAGATGTGGGGACCATAATTATTTTATCTTGGTTGATCTTAGGGTTTGTCGGTGATCAAGGGCATAATCCAGGAGAAAACTTTTGACGCTATTTTTGTTTGAACTGGTGAGTGTACCACTCAGTTGACTTGTTGCTTAACTGATTTACTTGTGCTTGAAATTTATGACTTGAATGAATGTGACTTTAGTTATCCTGGACGGGGCGAGGGTATACTTTATCACACTCGATACCTTTGACTGTTTGGCTGGTTTTCTGTGCAATTTGGATCTATTACTTGTGCATGAGTTGATGTCGTTTGGAGGTTAATATCCAACGACCTTACTGTGAAATTTGAGCTCAAATCTCATTGGTAATCAGTCGAATCGAGCCAGCATAGGTTTGGTCGAAATAGAATGACCAACCATGAGGAACCTGTTACTGATTCACTGAATATTTCTGATATTTGGTATATTGGAGTATTACCACCATTGTTCATGTTTGGTGTTCGGGCCTAGTAAATGGTATATTTAGTGGATGGAAATAGGTGTAAAGTGGAGATCTACGGTCATGATTTTGCTTCTTTAAACGTTGACGGATTGACAACGAGTTTGGATCAAGTTAATGCAATAGGGAACTTGGCTCTTGAGAGCCATTTGCATCATTTTACTTGAACTCCTTTGTCCAAGGGGTAGTGTTTACTTATATTTTTATTTGATGCTTATATGTGATCGATTAAAATTATAATCGTGTGATTCTTGACTGCGTGACCCTTTTGGTACTTCATTGAGCGAAAACTCACTCCATTACATTTGTTTTCCTTACAGGGGGTGAAGTTTTGGAAGCATGAATTTTTAGAAAAGAGTTGAGTTAGTTATAGTTTGTTTTTGTTAAACTCTTCTATATTAGTAAACTTCACTTGTATTTGTATAAGTTTGGATACACTGACTTGTACTTTAAGTTGAATCATTAGAGACTCTATTGTATATAGTATGGATTGATTATTCAAAGTTAAATTGTGCATTTTGGTGTGATAAATGTGAATTTTGGCTCAGTACTCCTGTTGAGAGCTCGGCAGGCAGTCCACTAACCTTTGGGGTACGCCTTAATGGAAGGTGGGGTTATCACAGTTAGTATCAGGGCCTAGGTTAGACGTGTTAGGGTATCATTAAGTATGATTAAACTTATCTAAGTTGTAAACTGTGTTTATTCTTGTAGGTTATGGACGGAGCCAGTAGAGAGGGTGGAAGCGAGTCGTCTCGGAGGAGCTTTCGATCATTGATTACAAGGAGAGGCCAGGAGGACCGATTCGGCGTTGGAGTACTGCTAGTCGGATTAGATGCTGTAGTCGTTGCCATAACTACTCTTATGCTAATCATGTGGTCTTGGCGGTACTAGATAAGAGGAGAAGGCTTACGAGTGCCAATGCTAGGGATCAAACTAAGATGGTAAGGATGAGGGGCATCACGAGGATGCAAGCTGACAGGATTCGGGAGCTCCAAGAGGACATAACGATGGAGCAGGAGAGGACGAATGCTCTTAGAGAGCAGTTTCAGGTAGTTAATGACCACCTTACTAAGGTGGTCAGAGAAGTTAGGGATCGGACTGTAAGTATTATTGATGAGTGTGAAACGCTAATCCAGAGAGTGATTGGCGCTAACACACCTGTGGAGATTCGGGGTGACGGAGCCCCTAGAGAGGGAGATACACCTAGTTTTACTCACGGGAGAGAGTCTGTTAGCTCGCTTGGGAACCAGGTTAGAGCTCTTATAAGCTATGTTTTGACCCCATGTGAGGAGTAGTTAGGAAAGCTCATAGTTGGATGTTTTCGTACTTTTAGGCATAGTTTTTGAATATTGTGCTTTTGTTATGACCCCGTTACCTTTTTAACAGGATTGCTTTTGCTTGTATCTGACTGTTACTGTATGACACATATTATAAAGTTGAGTTAAATGTATTTTCCTTTTGGCTTGTTTATACTTCTTGTGACTTATCCATGCATTTATATATCTTTAATATTGTATTTGCACTTCGACCTTAGATTGGTTGAAAACAAATGGAGGGTAGACATAGTGGACGAGGCCATGAGCACGGACCTAGGCACCACTTGAATGAACAGGATAATGGCGAACCAGTGCCTGAATAGAATCGTGAACTGAGGGTCGATCCTAATGCTCAAGTAGTCACAGCTATCCAACGTATGACCAATCTTTTAGCCTATATAGTGGATCGTCAGGGCCAAAACCCTGTTAACCAACCCGAAAATCCTGAAAATCATGTGGAGGGTGAGGATAGAACTCTCGAACGATTTCAAAAATTCTCCCCACCAAAATTTCTTGGAGGATCTGATCCTGATGTGGCCAAGAGATGGCTAGAGAAAATGATTGATATTTTCGCTGCTTTGCATTATATTGAGGAGAGACAGGTGACCTTGCTGCCTTTCAGTTCGAGGGAGCAACCCGTTCCTGGTGGAATGTGATAAGAATGAAGTGTGATAAGAATGAAGTGTGAAAGAGAGTAAACCCCGAGGACTTGGGTAAACTTCATGAAGGGGTTTAATGCAAAGTATTTTTCGCCTCTGATTTAGGAGAAAAAGGAGGATGAGTTTATTAGATTTCGATAGGGAGTTCAAACTGTAACTGAGTATGAAAGTCAATTTATTAGATTATCTAAGTTTGCTCCCAAACTAATCGTAACCAAGCAAAGGCGAATAAGGCGATTCGTTCAAGGGCTGAATGTTGAGATTCAAAAGGATTTAGCGGTAGCCCAAATCAATACATTTAGTGATGCGATGGATAAAACCCAGTGAATTGAGAGTGCGCGGATACAAGTTAGAACTTTTCAAGCAAAGAAACAGAATATACCTAATAGTAGCTAGAGACAAGGGGACAAGACTGCACCTCCTAAGTTTGGAAGGGGGACTGGCGGAATAAGACTTTCGAGAATGCCAAGGGGAGCCCTGTCAAGAGGAGGTCAAGTTGGGCGAGGACAACAGAGAGGTGCCTCACAAGGAGGCTCGACATCAGCTCCTCGTGTTTCCTGCGGATATTATGGGAAGTCGAATCACACAGAGGACAATTGTTGGAGGAAAGAAAGAAAATACTTGTGCTGTGGAAGTGCCGAGCATCAGATTGCCAATTGTCTAGTTCCACCTCGAGAAGAGAGTGGGAACCGGCAGTCAACCAAGACAAACCCTAAACAGTCGAAAGTGGAATGGACTAGAACAAAGGTGCCGGCTCGGGTGTACGCGCTAGCGCAATATCAGGTCCCTGATTCATCTGAGATCGTAGAAGGTAAGATCCCTGTATTCCACCATTTAGCTAAGATTTTAATTGATCCTGGTGCTACCCATTCCTTTGTCAACCCCAATTTTATATGTAAAATTGATGTGAACCCTACTAGATTGCCATATGATCTAGAAGTTAGTACTCCTACGGATGATCAACGTTTGATCACCAGTATGATTTATAAGAATTGTGAAATTTGGATTGGAGAGAGAAAACTATTGGGGGATCTAATAAGTTTTTAGCCATTAAGGAGTACGATGTCATCTTGGTTATAGATTGGTTAGTTCGATATGACGCTTAACTAGATTGTAAGAGAAAAGTGATAGAATTTCGCATATCTGGGGAGGCAACCTTAAGGTTAGATGTAAGGGGTAGATTAGTTTTATCCACACTTATTTCGAGTATTCGGGTTAGGAAATTATTGAGTTAAGGAGCGTAAGATTTTCTAACTTTTCTTATGAATACTCCGATCGATAAGTTGAAAGTAGAAGATGTATCGGTAGTGAAGGAATATCCGGATGTATTCACTGATGATTTAGTGACTCTACCTCTAGAAAGAGAGATAGAATTTAAGATTGACTTGTTGCCGGAAACATCCCCTATCTCTAAAATTCCATATCGAATAGCACCTATCGAACTTAAGGAATTGAAATTGCAGTTGCAAGATTTATTGGGGCGAGGGTTTATATGAAAGAGCGGATTTCCACGGGGAGTTTCGGTACTGTTTGTTAAGAAAAAAGACGAAATTTTAAATTGTGTATAGACTACCGGGGGCTGAATGATGTGACAATTAAGAATAAATATCCTTTGCCACATATTGATGAATAGTTTGACCGACTGCAAGGAGCAGTGGTATTTTCGAAATTAGACATCCGACAAGGGTACTATCAACCACGAATTAGGAAGGAGGATGTACCAAATACTGCATTTAACTTTAGATATGGACATTTTGAATTTACAGTCATGCACTTTGGTTTAACCAATGCCCCTGCCACATTTGTGAATTTGATGCATCGAGTTTTCAAACCCTACTAAGATCGATTTGTAGTCGTGTTTATCGATGACATTCTTGTCTACTCGAAAACTCGAAAGGAGCATGAGTAATATTTGAAGATTGTATTGCAGACTTTAAGAAAACATCAATTATATACTAAGTTTAGCAAATGTGAGTTTTGGTTGGAGAAAATTTCTTTTTTAGGACATGTAATTTCAAAAGATGGTATTACTGTAGATCCAGCGAAAGTAGAAACAGTAACTGAATGGAAGAGGTCAGAAAATTCCACTGAAATTCGTAGTTTCTTAGGCTTGGTAGGGTATTATCGTCGGTTAAGGATTTCTCAAAACTTGCTGGTCCTTTAACTTATTTGACGAAGAAGTATGGCAGTTTTATATGGAACACTAGATGTAAAATTAGCTTTCAAGAATTGAAAAAAATGTTGACTATGACACTAGTTCTAGCTCTACCTAATGGAACGGACGGTTTCACTGTATATACTGATACCTCGAGGGAAGGATTAGGGTGTGTAGTAATGCAAAATAGGAATGTGATTGCCTTTGCCTCTAGGAAGTTGAAACCTCATGAGCAAAATTATCTGACCCATGACTTGGAATTAGTCGCTATTGTCTTTGCCTTGAAAAAATAGAGTCATTATTTGTATGGAGTAACTTTTGAAATTTATACGGATCATAAAAATTTTAAGTACTTATTTTCTCAGAAAGAGTTGAACATGAGACAACGTCGATGGATGAAATTTTTAGAAAATTATGACTGAACGATTAACTACCGTCCTGAGAATGCTAATGTCATAGCAGATGCCTTAAGTCGAAAGGCTCAAGTGGCGGGTTAATGATCAAGGAATGAGATATGTTAGAAAAAGTTGGTGAGAGGAACCCTTGTCTTGAGCGCCAGAAAGTGATCTTTGGAAATATTACGATGTAATCCACTCTATTAGATTGAATCAGAGAGGCTTAGAAGAAAGATTCGGTGGTACAGAAATGGATAGAAAAGGTGCAAAAAGGGGAATTGTCTGATTTTAATTTGAGTCCCGAGGAAATTTTGAGATATCGGAACCGAGTAGTGGTGCCAAAGGATGAAGTGTTGAAAAAGGAAATTTTGGAGGAAGCTCATCGATTCAAGTATACAATCCATCCGGATAGTGATAAGATGTATCAGGATTTAAGGGGGTTATATTGGTCGGATAACATGAAGAACGAAATTGCTCAATATGTTCAAACATGTCTCGTCTGTCAACAAGTTAAAACCAAATATCAAAAACCCTCTGGTTTGTTACAACACCTCGAGATACCTGAATGGAAGTGAAAAAATATCACAATGGACTTCGTCTCGGGTTTGTCACGGACACAGAGAGACCAAGATGCCGTTTGGATAATTGTCAACCAGTTAACCAAATCGGCTCATTTCTTGCCAGTAAACATAAAGTATTCTATGAAAAAGTTGGCTCAACTGTATACGGATGAAACCGTGAGATTGCATGGAGTCCCAGTGAGTATAGTTTCAGACAGGGATTCCCGATTTGTGTCTCGATTTTGATAAAATTTGTAAGAAACCTTAAGGACCAAACTAAATCTGAGTACTACATACCACCCCCGACAAATGAACAATCAGAAAGAACCATTCAAACCCTCGAGCATATGTTAAGGATGTGTATTTTAGATTTTGGAGGTAGTTGGAGCCAGCACATGACGTTGGTAGATTTTATCTACAATAACAGCTACCATTCATCTATTCAAATGGCAACATATAAAACTCTTTACGGAAGAAAGTGCCGATCACCGGTTTACTGGAATGAAGTGGAGGAAAAGAAGATTTTAGATTCAACAACAGTGCCATGGATAAAGGATGCACATTAAAAGGTCAAACTAATACATCAGAAACTTCAAACAGCTCAAAATCGATAAAAAAGTTACGCGGACAATCAAAGAAAGAATTTGGAATTCGAAATTGGAGATCTTGTATTTCTTAAGATCACTCCGTTGCGAAGTGTCACGGCGGAAAAAGGAAAGAAGTTTCAACCACGATTTGTAAGACCCTTCAAAATTCTCCAACGAGTTGGAAATGTGGCATATCGACTCGAACTACCATCGAGTTTATCCAGGATTCATGACGTCTTCCATGTCTCGATGCTAAAGAAGTACCATTCTAATCCGACTCACATCTTACAACCACAAGAAATTGAAATAGATAAGTCTCTAACATATGAGGAGAAACTCATGCAGTTGCTCAACAGAAAGGTTAAAGAACTGATAAACAAGCAAATTCCCTTGGTGAAGATTTTGTGGAGAAATGATGGGGTAGAAGAGGCAACCTAGGAAGTGGAGGAAGAAATGCAAAAGAAATACCCTGAACTGTTTGTTAATCAAGATGAGAAATTTCAAGAACGAAATGTTTTTAAGGGGAAGAGAGTGTGAGGGCCCGAAAATTTTTTCTTATTTTATTTTATTTCTTTGAATACATTTTCTTTACTTTACTTTATTACCTTAATTTCCTAAATATCTTTATAAGTGAGTCAAGTTTTTAAATCATTTTTTTGTATAAGTTAGTTCATGTTAAGTTCGTAGCGCATTATAGAAGCGGGACCCACTAGTGAGTTGCGTAATAAATTTAGTGGACAAAACGGGTAATTATTTAAGAAGATTTGTGTGACTAGAAGTGCTAAGAGTGAACTAGAGGAAACCAATTTAGATAAGACCTTGAAGACAAAGGAAAGACAAAAAAAAAAGATCAAGCTAAAAACTTTAGGCCGACAAGTGTCGACCATCTAGTTAGTCCTTTGACTAAGACTATTCTTGGTTTTATCTTGAAAATTTGAAGCAAAAATCCTTCATTCTTCTCCTTCTTGTGGCCGAACCATTGAGAGAAAAAAAAAGAAAGAAAACTTCATCTTCAACTGTAGACACCAAATTTTAAATAATTTGTATGTAGCATCTATTTCATGATTTTCATTTTAGATTGCTTGCATTTTAGTTCGTTATTGTGTGTTTGGCACTATTAGTTGTTATGATATTTTAGTTTTATTCATTTTCGCCCTTTTAATTGACCTATTTCATTTGCTATTTATTCTTATTTACTTTTAGTTTTGGTTTTTAGTTTTAGCTTTTAAGTTTAAGATTAGCATAGAGTTTTAGAAAAAAAAGAAAAGGAAAACATCAAAAATATGTTTTAGTCATTTTGTTTTTATTCAATGCTTTCTTGAAAGAAAAATGAAAATGAAAAATCATAAAAAAAGGAGAAAAGAGAAAATTAAAGAAAAAGAGGAAAAAGAAGAAAAATTCAAAAAAAATAGGCTTTAGTTGGATTGGAAAAAAGAGAAAAAGGAAAAAAGGAAAATTTGTTCACAAAAATATGTTTATTTCTTTAAATTCAATCTTTGGGCACTTTAGTTATTTTTATTAAGTTATTTTGAGAAAAAGAAAATGATGAAAAATGACAAATTGGAAAATTAAAAAATGGCCATTTTTTTTTAGTTTTTTGTTTAAAATTATTTTTGTTTTGTTATTATTATTATTACCTGGTTTGTGTAATTTTGTTATTATTATTATTTATATTTTATTTTATCATTTCTGTAATTATCAAGTTGTTTTTTTTTAAAAAAAAAAATAAAAAAAATGCTCGCGGCATGCAAGCTGCATTTTGCCGCAGCTTGCAAAGGGATCATCGAGCGGCTCCTTAGCTGCAAATACAGGGAAAGTTGTTGGAGTTTTAGGGTTGGGGTTTGCTCGTATAAAAGCCAAGAGAAAGGGGAGCCGCAGGGGGGAGTTTTCGGTGAGCAAGAGAGGATAGAGGGAACGGCAAAAAGAAAGAAACAAGAGAAAGGTTTGCGAGGAAAAGGGGACAGGGATAATTGGCGGCATAGGTTCTGGGCAGAAGAAAAAGGGCTGGGTTCAGAAAAGAAAGAGTGAAAGAGAGAGACCAGAGATGGGGGATCAACGGGGAGGTTTAGAAGGCAACAAAAGAAAGAAAAAGGAGAGAGCTTTGACGGCTGAAATCGGGAAAAAGAAAGGAAAACCAGAGAAAGGAGTGGACGGCTGGTGAGGAAGAAGGCTAGAGTTTTGAGAGAGGTGGGCTGTGAGGAACAGAAAACTGGAGAGCTTTCGGGCAGAGTAAGGAACCGTGAGTGAAGGAAAGCCAGACAGAGAGAAACCAGAACAAGGAGAAGAGGATCTGCGGCCCATTGCCCTCAGATTGTGGTGGATTCCAGTCAGTTACTCCAAAGTCCTATCA